TGTGCTTCTGACTGAGGGAAGTATCCCAAGTTCTTGAAATGAATCAAGTACCCTCAAAGGCTACTAGGCCTGTGTTTCCCAGGGTGCACAGAGCCAGAATCAAGCCCAGCCCTGGGTGGTGGCAGTGGAAACACCAGGCTAGGGGGTGTGCTCCAGGAAAGGGGTTGGCCAGACATGAGGTGCCCCCAGGGAGGCACTCAGAGCCTGGAAGGTGGTCGGGCACAGTGAGGTGGGTGACTCGATACAGGAGCACCCCCTACTGTTCAACACTGAACATTATTTTTTAGGAATTAGATGAATTAAGAGTTCTTTAATGTGGAGGAAGTTTGTGCATTAAGTTGATTTAGATATTCACTAGTGAGACTTTCCTATAATTATGCTCTTTTTTTCACTCCATTTTCTAGCCCTTGATTTAGTTTATTTTGCTGCACAGATCCCCTTCCTACTGGGGATGATATAACTGCTCAGTTAAAACAGTAGGATACCATCACTAGCAAGATTGATATTTTTTTTTTTTTTTTTCCTCCTCCTATCTTAGTTTAAAGCCAGTTCTGGTAAGTGTATAAGGCTATCACAAACACTGCTGACCTTGTAGCTGTAGCACTGCTGAGCTCAGGAACTTGGGAATGTGCTCAAGCAGTTAGTCCATACTCTGGGGCAGGCAATTATTTCAGGTGGAGGGCCGCTTAATGAGTTGTGGTGAGCTGTTGAGGGCTGCATGGGTTGCCCCACCCCCTGGTCACCATCTTGGGACTGAAAGTCCCACCTCTAACCTCTGCCACCAGAAGTCCCTCCCCTTATCACCCAGACATACTTCTTTTTTTGGGGGGGGTTGCCATCTTAGAACCAGAAAAAAACCCAACAAATCATACACTAAAAGTCAAATGCCTACTATAACATTTTATTACAAAATATTTTTGTCATGATTTGTTTGCATACTGTATACAGAGGTGACTACATAATAACTCAAAAATAAATTCTTAGTTTTTCTTTTTTATTGTGGGGGGTGTATGGTGGGGTATGGGTGTGGGTGGGCATATGGTGGGGTGCATGGGGTAGGGTGTGGGGGGATTGTGAGCAGATGTGGCTGTGTATAGGGGCATAGGGTATGTTGGGGGCTTGTATATATGTGGAGGTTGTGGGGAGAAGGTGTGGGTATGTGAGGGAGGGTGGGGAGTGGGGACCTCCCCACACTCCCCCCCGTGGTGAAGCAGCAGCAGGTGGGATGCTCAGGGCACAGGTGCCTGGTGGGGCACAGCTCCAGCAGCACTGCACATCACAGCAATGGGTACAACCTCTGCTGGCCTGTCTTTATTGTTGGCGCTCCCTTTCAGTCACGCACAGCCCCTGCGCTCACAGCATGAGACAGAAGCCCCAGGTGCTAGAGCTGGCTGCCTTCCCTGCCGGGATTGCACAGCAGGGAAAAGAAGCCCCAGGTGCTTTCTCTTGGTGGGCAGGGAAGGCGGCTGGCTCCAGACCTGAGGCTTCCCTCCTCTGCTGTGCAAGTGCAGGGGCTGCACGTGACTGGCAGGGAGCGGCCCAGCAGAGGTTGTGAAACCTCACTGCTGTGCAGTACTGGCCGGAGCTGCACACCACTGGGCACCTGCACCCTGAGTACCCTACCTGCTGCTGCTGCTGCCACCTCTTGCTGGGGCTGTGTGCCATAAGGGGAATATGTGGGGGGGTCCCCACACAGCCCACCCTCCCTCACACCCACACACTGCCCAGCTGAGTTGCACACTGCCACCACTCCCCTAGGTGCGGGCTCCACACTGCCACCATCCCCATGGTCCACACTCTTGTCCAGCTCTAGCTACACCCCTGCCGCTTCCCTACCTGCTGCCCAGAGCCAGCAGGAGACCAGGGAAGCAGAGCAGGTCCCCAGGGGCAGCAGCAGTAGCAGCAGTGGCCCTGCATGGAAGCTGCGTGCTGGCTGGCCAGGCCCTTCTGCCCGTGGGGGTGGGAGCAAGGCAGTAGGGTATGTTTGGGCTTTGTGTACACATGGGTACCTCATTCCCACCCTCATGGGTGGAAGGGCTGGGCAGAGCACAATCTGCTGGTGGGTGCTTTGGGCTGGATGAAAGTGCTTGGTGGGTCAGATCTAGCCCACAGGCTGTATTTTTACCCACCCCTGCCATACTAAGTTTCTTATTATTGTGGGTCCACTGCTGGCAGTACCAGAGCTAGTGTGGTTAGGGCAAGCTAGCTCAAGTAAACTTAAGCAAACTGCAATGACTACAGTGCAGACCTACCAAGATGGAATAGAACAACTTGGTTATCATGATAGATGCAAGTTGGGAAATAATAACTCTGCACTAACCTAATACTTCCGAGGTAGCAGCCACACTATTTTGGATTTGTGTTGTGTCACTTGAGAGGTGAGAATAAGGACTAGGCAGTGCCACTGGAAATCTTGCTAGCTGTTCATGCTAAAAGCCCTGTCTGCTTTATAAGGCAGTGAGTCTTTTGCTTAAGATGGAGTCCTCCAAATTTTTATCACTTATCTATTTCATCTAGTCCCACTAGGGGAAAACAGATTTACACAGCAGTAATCATTACATGCATTATTATTTTACAGGATTGAACCCAGAGTCCTTTAATTTCTTGTACTGAAGATTAGAGAGGCAACAAAATAAATATACAGGCTTATGCAGAACATGCTTTTAGGGTGATGCTATAATGGTAGATTCAGGAAGATTGCTCAAAAACAAACACAAACCCTCTGCCTTTTGGTATTCATTGCTTTTTCTTTAAGAAATATACTTAACTATATTAAAATATTGTTGTAACAACTGAGAATAGAGTAAGTCTTCTCTGGGAAGAACTTATGTTTTTGAACTAGTTATATATTTCCAGAGTGGATGAAAACAATAGAGTTCACTGAAGAGATCATTAACCATTTGTGTATGTTTAACTTGATCTAATTTATTATTACTTGTATATTAAACAGTAATTTAACTAATAAATCATTTCTATCTGGTGTTGAGGAAAGGCTTTTGTTTGTATTCCTACCCAGTTTGTATTCTGTACCTTTCACTTCTTTCCATAGATTTAACCTGCATGCCATTGAAAATAAAAGGATCCAATTATTACATAAAGTCTTAGACATTTCTCAGAAGTTCTTCAACTGATTACCAAGAGGGGGACATACAAAGATTGTGAATACAAGTTACAAAGTTTAATATAGTGAGAAACTATGAAGCACATCCTTGGAAATATGAATAAAGGCCTTATCCTTGGATCAGGCAGGGAGAGGAAGGGAACTGTACAGCCTGAGCCAAAAGAACTTGTAAAACGGTGCTTCTGAAAGCAAAACTCAGCTGTTATGTCATCCTGGAAGTGCCTAACCTGCAGAGACATCTCATTCTTAATGTTAAGGGTCCCCAGGCACCTAAAGTTCTGTCTCAGTACATCTCTCGCATCTAAGCATGCTGGGGGTCCATTGTTCCATGCTGTCTCCTGAGGCGTTCATTGTTGCAGGTGCACTCAACATAGCTAACCCACACAGGTAGGAATAGGCTCACGAAGTGTTCGCTATTGCATTTCAGTTACAACATGGCTGGAGAAGCCTCCACCTTGCCAATAGTCAATTAGCTAAAGAACAAGGGATCACAGTGAAGACACTAGAACCCAACCTTTTCCTTCTGTACTCATACATGCAAGGCTTATGAAGGTGGGGAAGAATGTGAGTGCATTTGTAATGGTTTCTCAAACTTGAGGGGAGGGAGTGCAAAAATCAGATGATTATATCTTCTTTCCAAAATGGAAGGATCCTACCAGGATAAGCCAGGCACCTGGACTAACACTGTACGCCATGTGGTGCAGTTTCTCTGGCACCATTAATGTTGCATTTCTCCTTCTACTGTGGCACTACTATCACAGGCAGGGTACAGTCTAACTGAAAACCTAGTGGTCAAAACACTCAGAGGTGGGAGACATGGCTTAGAATCCCCTCAGACAAAGCAGGGTGCCGAACATAATCTCCAGTGTCCCAGGTGATTTCTGTAACTACTGAAACCTAGCTGAAAAATGAAGCTCCACATTTTTACTTTTTAATGAGAGAGGCTGCTCTGCATTGAGCTCTTAATGGTAGGTATGCTTGGTGGACCAACCCCCTGGGGGGAGTGGTTGTGGTGAAAAATGCTCAGTTTGGGGATCCTGTTTGGTTACAGGTTTGAGATCAGCAATGAGCTGCACACACTTTCCAAAATGTCAGCAGCTGTGGGCATGCAGAGGCGTAAAGTCTTTGGTATTTGGGGAAACTGCTGACAAAAAGGTGGATGCCTAACAGCTTGATCACAGGTCTTACAGCCACGGCTCCTAGACTTAAGTAGAATAGGCACTCAAGTCTTACTGTGGATCTGAGTATGAGTGACTTGCTACAGGAATCTTCAAGCAAAAAGCTGAACACTGGCCTTTGGAGTCCCAAGCTAGCACTGTAGCTACTGAAGGACAGGAGGGTACTAAAGAAGAGAGAGACACATATAAAGACTGATTCTTTGATGGCTCATGTTCTAGCTGAACAGGCTACTTCAAAACAGGAATCATCCCCTGTAACTAAAATCAGTGGTAAACCACTGATTTGATAGGGCAGGCTGAGTCCAGTGTACACTTAATTATTGAGCCCAGAGCACCTCCTGAACTTCTGAAAGGGTCTACCTACATTATGGAAGCAGCCGAATATACTCCAGTCACAATCAGAGTCTCTGTCAGATGCTGCAAGACAACATAGCTGTCTTCTACACAGACAGGTGTGAGGTTTGCAGCTTTGGCTGAACTAAAGGAGGGAGAGGAGGTAGCTACAGATGCACAGGATTTGGATTTTATGGGTGAAAAGGCTTTCTGCATCTTCCCTTCTCAGGAGGGAGAAGGGAAGATGCAGAAAGGCAATTATTATCACTAAGGCCGGGTTAAGCTATGGGAGCCATTCTAGCCACTAAAGCAGAATATTCCCCAAGCTGGTAGCCAATGAGTACAGAGCGAGGGCCCGTGCCACTTACCAGCTCCACAAGCACAGCTGTTGTGATCCCTCCAGCCTTATTGAAAGCCCACGGGAAATTGAGAAGTCCTGCTCCCAGGGCTGATTTCAGCATGATGAAGATGGCCCCAGCTGAGGATAAATGTGGGTTACCCCTCTCCACAGGGTGCTCGGCTAACAAGCTGATTCTCTCTCTAACTAGCTTCTCCATCTCTGGAAGGAAAGGAGGGCGGGTTTAATGGCCCCAGAGTGGGCAGACCTTACTGACTGACAACTCTATCTGCAGTAACAATTTCTCAGGAAGGCAGGTCTGCTCATTGTCCTAGGGCCAGGTTCCAAAGACGTCTTAGGTTAAAGAGTTTATTCCCTTCCCCCCGCCCTTTTGGAAAACAAAAGTTAAAAGGGGTAGAGCCCTCCACACACTCCCTCACCACAGCTCCCAGTTGGGGAAAAAAAACAGCTTCTCAACCAATCGAGGGTTGGGAGAATTTGAGCCAATTAGGCAAAGCAAGCTGTGTTCAGTCATGTCTCAGTGGCTGCTAATTCAATTAGCATGTCTGTGGAGCAGTTGAAATAGGAGTGAAACAAGTGGCAAAGCTGTGTAAGATTTTGTAGCAAAGAGGTGTTTTCAAAACAGGACAGAAAAGTGAGCTCTAGGGTTCTCTCCAGGGTCAGGGCATCATTAAATAGAAACAACTTAGGTCTGCTGTATAATGCAAGCTAGATACCTGCAGACAAGAGGGACCTACCCCAACTTACAGATCAAGAGAGAGACATCCATTAATGATTTCAGTAGGATTTAGATCAGTTCTTATTGACCTCAGTTCAGCAAAGTGTTTGAAGCATGTGTTCAAATATGCACTTATGTTTTGCTGAATTGAGACCTTCACTGGATACTTATCTATACCTGAAGTGACAGAATCACATTTATTAGTAGAAGTTTACTGTTTGCACTGGACTTTCCTCTGCTATTGCTTCAAAGCACTGAGCCACTGATGTGCTTTGCAGTAACTAAGTAACCTGGTGAACTTCCTACTCTAAACCTTGCTCCTCAACTTCTTTCCCATCACATTTGCTCTTACCTATTGCTGTGCCCATTGCTGAAATGATCAGACACATGGCCAGGCAAACATGAGTTTCCATGGAGACCCACACACTATTGTACACAAGCAAGGAAGGGGAAGGACTGTGCAGTGCTACACACTGTGAAAACTAGGGGTGCAGCAATAGAGATATTTTGGGTCAATACCAATAGCTGATTTTTAAGGAGCCATATTGGCCGATACTGATCCAATTCCAGTATGGAACCAGGCAGCTTGGAAACCAGTGTCAGGCTGGTAATTCAGGTGTGGGAGAAGGAAGGATCATGGGGGGGGGGGGGGCAGACAAAAGCCCCCGCAGTGAAGGAAGGAGAGGACTGGGGCATGGGATGGAGCTGCAAATGGCTTGTCCAAGGGGTGGGGGCAGCTCCAACCCTGCATGTACCCCAGGAGGTTATGGGTGGCATGTGCCTCCAGATCTGCACATGGGGCAAAGGCAGGCTGGGGCAATACTGAGCTCCTCCAAGTAGGGGGGCTGGGCTGGGCTCAGAATGGGTGGCAACAGTACTGAGAGGGGGCTACAGGGGTGGGGGGCTGCAGCCACCCCAAAATTCACTCTAGCCCCCGCATAACCCCCTGAGTGCAGCCTAACCCAGCCCCACCAGGAAGACCCCAGTGCCTTGCTGGACCAACACCTCCACTGGGAAGAGCCCAGCCCAGCTAGCAGTGGCAGCCTGCCCTACCCCACCCCATGCAGATTCAGGGGCACACGCCCCCTATGCCTCCCAGGGTAGGGAAGCAGCAGAAGCTGCCTCCACGCCCTCTGGACAAGCCGCTCATGGCTCTGTCCCATGCCTGCCCCTCCCCAGCTGAGCAGCACCTGCCCCTGCCCCACATGCTCCCTTACCACAAGGGCCTCAATCTGCCCCCTGCATGATTTTTCCCTCCCTCTACCCTTCCCACACAACAAACTTATCAGCCAATGCTGCTCTCCAAGCCACTGGGCTGCGCTCCTGGCAACATGCATGCTGTGGCTGCGTGCATACACGGGACATTTATCAGCTGCATTATCAGCCACATCAGGCAAAAAAAAAGATTCTTTCCAATACTGTCAATTTTCCCAATATTGGTACTAATCCAATATGGGACCAATGTATAGGTGCATCCCTAGTGAAAATATAAATCAAAGCTGGTTCCCATCTCAAATACTTACAGCCTAAGGATGTTGACACAGAACACCTTTATACCAATACAAATTAAGTTGGGAGCCAGGGTGGCATACACGTAGCTTTCCCAGGCTAAAAATTTGCAATTGGTAGTATTGCAGCACCTCACCATTTGGTGGAGAAGCATGTAATATTGTACACTGGAACCCACTGCCCTGGGGTAACTGCAGTTGCCTTTACATGTGCTCAGGTGTAGGGGTGTTTTAATTGCAGCAGATCCTGGACAGTCACTCTAATTAAAATTGTTCACTGTCGCATGTATTAAATCCCCATGTATTTCAAAATGGCCATGGGATGACATTATCTAAAGCTTATTTGGCAAGGTTTAGATAAAGCGCCCTCATAGCCATTTTGAAATGCATGGGGGTGACGATGAGGCAATTAATTGAGTCAGCTCTGACGTGGTCTAATTAGAATGTGAACGAGCACGTCTATAAGCAGCCACAATTCTTATGCTAATGTATTTTTTCTGGTTTTCCATGGGGTACTTTTACATGGCAGTCTAATGACCCATCCATGTGGGTGTTTGTGTTGGCTGTCCACTTTGTATTGTACACCTGTTTAAAGACTAATTATATGAGTGGAAACGTGTTGCATGTCCAAGCCTAAACCATAAGAAAAGAGACAACCAAAGAATACAGACAGGGAAGTACTAGGAAACAATGAGATAACAGGGGTCTGTGAGAGAAGCAGCACTCCCACCCACTTCACACAGGCCTCATGGCTATATTTGCTTTGGATTAGGATTCTGCCGATTCAGGGGGCAGTGATTCGAATCACGGTCCTGAATCAATTCAGCCAAATCTGATTCAGAGATTCAGCCACAGCCAAACCAACTGAACCTCCCCATTCCCTGCCCACTCTCCCAGCTCTGGCTCTCTTAAATGAAAACAAAAAACAAAAAAACCCCCATGCTCACTGGCTGCTGCCAGGTGGGAAAGTGATCTTCACTGCCCCCCACTACTCCATGCTGGGGGGTGGGGGGACTCTGCCACAAGCCCCCTGGTCCCCAGGTCCTGGCCCTTTTTTAAAAAAAAAAAAAAGCCCTGGGCACACTGGCTGCTGCTAGGCGGGGCGGGAGGGGGAAGGAGGCCATTCCCACTGCACTCCACTCCACTCCACTCCACTCCACTGCACTATGACTGCCACAAGCCCCCAGAAGCCCCAAGGCTGCTGCAGCAGCAGCGTGGGGGCTCTTTTTTTTTTTTTTTTTTT